TCTCAAGATAGTTTTCTCAGTGAACACGCTTATTATATGATTTACCAAGTTTTTGAAATTGTTCATTACCAACCAATTCAAGATAATGTTTTAAAAATATTTCTTCAGGTAATCTACGTGAAATAGTTAACATAGCATCACTAATATATTTAGCATTTGATGGATTTAATTTCATTTTTAAGAAATGAAATTGTTTAAGTAAATCTTGAGGAGTTAAATCAAATGTAATTGGTAAACATATAATTACATGATCAAGTGGTTCAATATTAGTACTAATATTACTCTTTAATAATAAAGAAGAAGTTTGTTTTTCATTAAACCATTGAAGAGATTCATTGTATGTATTTGTTAAATGATGAAGAATACGTAATGCTTTTAATTTCTTGGGATTAGTCACTTCTTTATCCTAGAAAAGAAAATAATTGTCGATTCTTTTTTTTTTGTTCTTTTTTATATTGAAATATATGAACCTGAAGAAAATCATGTAAAATAATCTTTGTAATATGTTTTTGTTGTTTTCCAGTCAAATAATGAAAAGAACAATTTAAAATATTAATATATAATCCTGGTAATTTAATATTCTTTATTTTAGATTGCAAATTTATTGCAAGTTTAGTTTCTTCATTTAATAATTTCTCAAATGTAACACATTTATTGTCTTCAATTAATTTATCTATTAATTGTTGATATTGTTGAGAACGTAAAGCAATATGTTGAATAAATTCATTAATAAAAAAAATCTTATCTATTTTATTAATCAATTGATTAATACGTTCAAATTGTGTTGAACGTTTTTTTAAATATAATGAAATCATTGAATTATGTCTATCGATTTGAAATACTGTTTGAAGTTTTGTTGATAAAGGAAGATAATCAATAAAGAATGAATTAATAAATGAATCAATTTTTGATAAACGCCATGAGTTCTGTAAATAAGAATCTATTGAATCATTTAATTCATCTAACATACATTTTGAGAGAAATTTTGAAAATACATCAGAAATGAGAATATCCGCTACAAGATTACGTGCTATGGGATATGATTCAGATAATGATTCAATATCAAGTTTAAGATTATTCTTCATTGCAAAACATCTAAAGAGAATATAAAATAAAAATATATATTATAAATTTGTTTAGATTAGATAATCATTTATGTTTTATAAAATATATTTGGATACTAATTTTTCTCAGAAATAATCACCTTTGGCTATATATCATTTCAACTTCGCTGTATTTTTTGACTTTTAAAAATTGAAAAAGACATCGTTCAATATTACAGCCCTATGTTTGTTTTGATAATGACTAATAGAATAAAAAAAAAATGATGTATCTTACCGGTGTCCGACATAGGTAACTTTTTTTTGTGACCCGACCCGACCCGATCCAAGGTTGACAGATAATTTTCAGATAATTGAAGCAAAATTTCTATAGAAATTAAGTAGTTCTTACTGAATCTATAAATGTTCTCTAAATAACTAGAGTAAAGAAATCATTATCACATCTCAAATTGCTGTTTATTTTATGTGAAACTCGAAATCGATCAATCTTTTGTGATCCGATTCGAGCTCAAAAAATTTTTTAATGACCCGATCCTAGGCGAACACTGTATCTTATATTATATTAATGAAATTTTTCCTACAGAAAAATCATGACAAAAACAAAAATCACCGTTTCTAATGATGAAATGAACAAAATCTTTGATCTTTTTTGAAAACTCCATCAAAATCATGTTATGAAACCGATGAAAAAATATTTCAATATTTTATTATTTGAATCATCTGTAGATCTAGGTGGAATAGTTTCTTCCGGTCTTTGTTTAAATTCCAGTCTTATTGTATTTTGAGAGACTACGTAACGAACTTTTAAAAAGTCTATTTTACTCTAGAGTAGAGTTCTGCATAGGTTTAACTTTTCGAATCCCCCGCACTCGACCCGAAAATTTCATTTGTCTGTTTAGGCTATGATACAAAGGTTCTGAAACGAAAATAGAAAAGTAAAGCAATAAAAAGAGCAAAAGGATCAACTCTTATTTCATCACTGTTGAATCGAATGTTATTGATTAACATTTTTGAAAGCTTTGATTAAAACATAAAAAATAACGTTATTATTATTTCTTAGGATCATTTGAGGCAATATCACCTAGAGTTTTATAATTAT